GATGAAACTGGCTTCCCATGTCTTGGATGGGCATATTCTTTGCTGGATAAAAAGCTGTCTGTATGGCCAGACCCAGAGAGTAGTGGTGAATAACATCCAGCTGATGGCTGGTCACAAGTGGTGCTCCCCAGGCCTCAATATTGGGGCCAGTTCTGTTTAATATTTGTATCAATGATCTGGATGAGGAGATCAAGTGCACGCTCCATAAGTCTGCAGATTCTCATCAGGTTGGGTGGGAATATCTATCTACCAGGTGGGAATATTCATCTACAGAAAGGCTCTGCAGAGGGATCTGGACAGACTGGATTGAAGCCCAGGCAGAGCTGCAGGCTGGGGGCAGAGTGGCTGGAGAGCTGCTGGTGGAAAAGGACCTGGGGGTGCTGATTGACAGTGCCTGAACACGAGCCAGTGTGTGCCCAGGTGGCCAAGGAGGTCAGTGGCTTCCTGGCCCTGATCAGGAATAGTGGGGCCAGCAGGACTGGAGGAGAGATCATCCCTGTGTACTTGGCACTGGTGAGGCTGCACCTCAAATCCCAAGTTCTCTTTTGGGTTCCTCAGAACAAAAATGACATTGAGGTCCTGGAGCGAGTCCAGAGGAGGGCAGTGGAGCTGGTGAAGGGTGTGGCTGGGAAGTGCTTCAAGCAGTGGCTGAGGGAGCTGGGACTGTCTGGGGAGAAAAGGAGGCTCAGGGGTGACCTTATCACTCTCTACAAGTGCCTGAAAGGAGGGTGTAGCCAGGCAGGGATCAGTCTCTTCCCCTTGGTAACAAGTGACAGGACAAGAGGAAGTGGCCTCCTCTTGGAAGGTGCCAGGGAAGGCATTAGATATTAGGAAATTTTATTCACTGGAATTTTATTCACTTGCATATTAGGAAAAAATTATTCACTGAAAGGATTGTCAAGCACTCAAATGGGCTGTCCAGAAAAGTGATGGAGTCACCATCTCTGGGGTATTTAAAAGGCATGTAGATGTGGCACCTGGGGACATGGCTTTTTCATGGACTTAGCTGTGCTAGGTTAACTGTTGGACTCAATGATCTTAGAGGTCTTTTACAACCTAAATATTTCGATGATTCTATGAAAATATTAAACAAATGGGGAAAAATGCCTTTTTTTCCCCATGGTCTTGTCTTTGGCATGACTTAAGAACCTTGTACTACTTGAGTAGTTCCACTATACACACATAAGGATCTTGCCATATACAGAACATCATTTTCATCTGTGCTGTGGTTTAACTCCAGCAGGCAACTCAGCCCCACACAACCACTTGCTCACTCCCCACTGGTGGGCTGGGAGACAGAAGAGTAAAAGGGAGAAAACTCTTGGGTTGGGATAGAGACAGGTAAATAGAGAAAGCAAAATCTGCACATGCAAGCAAAGCAAAACAAGGAATTCATTCATCCCTTCCCATGGGCATGCAGGTGTTCAGCCATTCCCAGGAGAGAAGGCCTCTGTCTTGCTTGGGGCTTGGGAAGACAAATGCCACCGCTCTGAATGTCCCCACCTGCCTTCTTCTTCCCCCGATTTTTGTTGCTAAGCATGTGCATGCTATGGAAAATCCCTTGGATCAGTTGGAGACAACTGTCTTGGCTGTGTCCCCTCCCAACTTCTTGTGTACCCCAAGCTTTTATTGCTGGCAGGGTGGGGAACAAAAAGAGCCTTGGCACTGTGTAAGCTCTGCTCAAAAGTAACGAAAACATCCCTTTGTTACCAACACTGCTTCCAGCACAAATCCAAAACACAGCCCCATACCAGCTACTGTGATGAAAATTAACTCTATCCTAACCAAAATCAGCATAAGATGGAAGTCCATGCTTCTTTATAAAGAAAATCCTTGGTTTTGTGGGGTTAGGTCAGAATCTTTATCTCATTTGACTTTCACAGCCACATCACAATTTCAAGTATTTAAACTCCTGTAATCAAATGCAGCCAGAACATTCCATATAAACATAAAGGTGACTAATGCTAAAAGAGAAAACAGAGTAAAATTTGCTATAAGTGTTTCCATTTGATAAACAAGTTTCTTTTGCTTTTATTTGACAAATCACCACATTGGTAATACTTACAAACGCAGGTCTGGAATACAATTCTCAAATATGTCCTCTACTGCTAAGAATTTGATTAGCTGGCACCCCATTTATTCAATTACTACATCAATAGTTTGGCATTTTTAAAAGTTAATCCTTTTTTTCCATTATTAATTATTGTTTAATCCATATCTTGCAATATTCCTAATGGTTGGCATCATTAATTTAATAAAGGACAGATAAGTATTTCTTTTCTAAATACTATCTAGTTTGGTTGACAAAACATGAGGCTGACCAGGATTTTGATAGTCTCATGGATGACTTCATAAGCAGGTTAAGAAAGGTCAGTTTGAACACTTGGGTTATTTTGAATTTGTCAATGTTTTTATCATGTTTTTACAATTCATTACAGTGGCAGCCTAATGGGAAAAAAAGGAAAACTAGATAAGAGTATTCACTGGACACTAGCTCAGCAAACAGAATGTTTTATGCCCAACTCTGTGACTGAGACGCTATATGCCCTTGGGTTGGCATTCTCCTGTTTCTTTTTATTTTGTCTATTCAGACTGGAGCTTCTCCTGGGTGGGTACTGGAGGTGCTAATTAGAGTAGGTAGCAAAATGGGGTCCTGATCTCTGCTGTGGCCTCTAGGTGTTGCTATAATACAAATAATTAATCAAAAGACATGTTTCAGTGTCCACAGAGGGTGTTGCAAATTTTTCCAGAACCATGCTAAATTTTATACAGTTAAACCCCTCTCTCTGTCTCCTCTCTACAGCATAACAGAAATTTTAGCTTTGTATATTGGGCAAATGAACCTGAATGTGAAAAGTAAAAGTAGGAAAGCTGTAGAAAGATATTTGACCCACCTCTAGTCAAAGTCCTTCATTTTTGGGTGCCTTTGTGATAGTCTCTTGTCCGAGGGTGGTTGCTACTAGAGGAACCTGCTGTTATATTCCTCACTCAGCTCAAACTTCCACTGCCAAAATCAACCACTGGGTATCACATCACTTAACAAGGCCTCTGCTGCTGATGTGGTTTAGGGGTATAAGCACACAAGGCACACATAAAGACACAAGTGCAGGTTAGATCAGGACACAGACCTGTTCTCATGTCTAAGTACATGAGGCCCTAAAATAATTACAAACTGAGATACTTGTAAGTTCAGTAAGGATAAACGAACTTTGCCTTCTAGGGTGAAAGTTCAGACCCTGGCATAGCTTGACCTCAAGGTCTGCATGTTTTGCTCAACAATGGGGCTAATATGCAAAACTCATTGTCATTACCATTAACAATCTTAAGATTTGTAGTTTAAATTTTAAAAATATGGCATAGGGAAAAAAAAAAAACCAAACAGAAAATAATTTGGAAGAGTTAGTGCAACCATTTTGTCATATTTCCAAGGAAGGGGCTGCCAATCCTGCAGCCCAGCACATCATTTGATGTAACCTCCAGCCGAGCAGCTCCTGCAGAACAGCCCTTGTAAAGGTGCGCCAGAGCCATCAGTACTCATGGCGATGCCTGGAATAGTGGCAGATGCCTCTCAAAACTGCATTTGTTGGAAATGCATTTGTAGCCAAACAGTCTGGCAGGGGATAAGTGATCCCTCCTGCAAAGCAATGGCACGGTAAGGAAAGGAGTTGGATGCACATTTGAAGAAAATGATGCAGGTGCCTGCTGGAGCGATGCCTTAGCAGGATTTACTGACGCAAAGGGGCTGAATATGGGATGGGAGATCTGTCCTCTTTCTGGCCAGACATAGATGCTGTGAGCCCTGTAGCCATCCACTCCCTTCTCTGCAGCCTCATCAGCTCTGCATTAACTATAATCCCTTTTTGTCATAGAGAAGAAATACTGTGAGGGGTGAATAGTCTCTCTGCTCTGGTCGTTATGTGGTTCAACCTCTGGGACAACCATGGTCCAGCTCTCAATATCTAATTGAGATTGCATAACCAGATACTGCAGGCATGTATTTATATAAAAGCTATTTTAATCAAAAGATTAGCCATTAAATTGCCAGTGTTCTTAAGCATGCTTCACCAATTTTTCCACTTTTAAGACTCAAGTAGACAATTTTTTTAATGTTTTATAAATGATAAAAAATTCACATCAGATTTTAACAGAATTAAGCATACTTATTCAACACACATGGGGCCTCTGAAAAAAATGTTATTCAATTTAATAATTTTAATTTACATTGTATATGTACATGAGCATTTCTTTCAACCCACAGGTTAACACCACCAAAAAAAAAAAAACAACAAAAAAACCAAGAAGAAATAAAAAAGAAAAAAAAGTACTGTGGTTAGCTGAGTGAAGAAACTCTTGAGACACGGTTGTCTGAAATAAAATCAAGGCACTCTCCCTTAACACCTGATATATTCCTGAATTCTGCCTAGACAAAGGCATGTTCACACTGAGAGAGCTCTAAGAATAGTAGTAGATTTTTTTCTGCATTAACTCTTTCTTTTACCACTGTGACAGGTCACCGGTTGTACTCTAGGATGAATCAGTGTATTGAAGTTGACATGAAGGACAATTCCACAGATGATGGGATTTGGGAGAGTATCACAGCTAAGACTATCTATGGAAGACTGGAGGACACAGACTACGTGAAATCTCACACGGGGCTCTCAACCTGCTTCCTCCCACTCACATTCCACTTAATAAATAAACCTTGCTCAACAAAAAAGCAATTTTACTGTACTATGCTGATTTGCTTGAAAATCCTTGATAAGGGCCCGCTCGCAAAAAGCTCCTGCAAGCCCTTGTCTGGCTGGTGCTCAGCACCTGGCAGGATTTGTCCACAGATAAAAGTAATTTCTCAAGGGACCTTGTGTCTTACACAAGGAGACAAAAGCAAACGTTCTTTTTTTGGATTTAATGTCAGTATGTTTTTGTATGCGCACATGTGTGTGAGTGTAGATATATATATATGTGTATATATATATATATTTAGTATATACAAAAGCAAATTCAGTCAAAATATATTTGTCTTGCTGGTCAGGCTTGTTACAGCAACCTACAAGAAACATTAGCTTCTCTGATATTTAATTATGCTATTATGTTTGCACATAAGCTTAAAAGTCAATACAAAAAGCAATACTTTTCCAAATATTATCTGCAGGTAAACCAGAAATATTAACTATAGTGATTAGAAGTCTGTTTCCCTATTGACACTACTATAAATCTTGATATAAGAATAATTTTTTCATAAAAGCACATCCAAACATAGTAAGTGATAAAATACCAGATTACTTTTTGAAAACCATACAGTGACTCGATATCTGGGTTATCCTTTGCAGCAATTAGGCAATTCATTTGGCATCTGTTTGATTGTATAATTTAATTTCCATATAAACAGCATAGTTTAAAAAAAGACAAAAGCTAGAATGTTTAAAGCTAACAAAAGATACAGTGACATCAGGTTGACATTCAAAAATTTTTTTAGCAAAATGACCAACAAAATTTTGACTTAATACAGTGCATATAAAGTTTTTTAGAACTGAACTTTTTAAATATTATTTGAATTTAGCAAAACATGAGCAAGATTTTAATATCAAAGTGCTAAACAGTACTGCCTTAGAAGTCACTGCAAATAAACTGTAAAACAACTCTGCTTGTGATTTGACAGATATTTTATATACAAATGGTTAATAAAAAGACACGCGCGCACACACACACACGCACACAAATATAGGTATATACATATATATACATACACATTATATATATGTATATAGTTTTCCAACTGGTGTATCTGAGTCAGTGTGAACACCCCATTTAGTTATCATGTGTAACAGGGTTCCCATGAGCTGGCAGTCATTGCAATAAATACAGGCAAAGCCATTACAATATACCATGCATACAAACATTTATACAAATAAAGACACTATGCAACAAATTATCTCATATTAATATGGCATCAACAGTATAAACATACAAAAAGGAGTACGAACACGGAATGTTTAAACGCAGCCCACTATATCCTTCCTAGCACTTACATTCATACTATTTTACAAGACTTGCTTGTTCTTGAAAACCATCTTCTGTCTGTTTACTAACGAGTCGCTTGTGTTAGAAGTCTAGAACTGAACTATCCCTGATACTGACCCTGTATGCTCCAGTCACTACTTACTCGGGTTTCCTTAGCTAAGGAACAACTGAGCCACAATTGCTCCCGTGTCTTCCACATACATTTGTCAATAAGTCACGCTACATGGAATCAAGTTTGGAAAACTCTGTCAGGTAAGTTAGTGCATGTAATTTTCTCCCTTGATTTCTTTTGTTTGTTTTCCTAGTAAAATAAATTAGTTAATAAACGAGACTTAGTAAGACAGCACTTGAAAAAATTGCACTTGAACATGGGAGCTAACAGCCATTGTCATTTTGCTATATTTGATTTGTATGAAATGTTTAATTGAATGTACTTGCTAAAAAAGTGAATTTTTGTTTAGATTGTGCTGATGTATGTGCCCTTGATGCAGGAAGTATGCTAAAGGTATCCTCACAAAACACATACTACCCTGGCAAACAACAATTTGCTGTTCTTTCAAACACAGCTTCTACAATTTCACTCCTCATAGACCATGAGGTGTTAAACAACAGATTTAAAACAGTCATGTTAACCTTTTACTGCTGCTGGGATAGCATTGTCCAAAAGTGCCATATTAGCCATTTAAAAAACCCAAATCACACAAAAGAAAACAAAGAACACAACCCCAAACCAGTAAGCCAGTAAGTTTCAGGCCTCAGGTTGTAAGGACAAAGCGCCAGAAAAGACCTCATGTTAGACTCGGAGCGGCTTTTCTGTTAAGTGAGGGCAGAAATGTTAGCTATAAGTCACGATCCGTTTGCCTGCTCTGGTGGGCGTTTGCCTCTCAGGAGGGTGGTTTGACTCAGAAGGGTAAGGTGTCCAGAAACAGCCTGTCGATGATGGAAGGGGCTGGCACCAAATCTTCCAGTTTCAGGTAAAAGATGCGCTGCAGTCCCAGTGTGCAGAGAGAACGCAAGTCAGCCAGAACACCCAGTACCTTCGGCTCTGCAGACTCGAGCGGTTGTCCTTTGTTTTGGCAACTGAAAGTTAAGTGATCTTTCAAACTGCTTGTGATCTTGTTGCATAGCTCTTCCACTTTCTTTGGTTCTTTTAATCCATGTCGTTCTGCAAAGCCAGAGGAAAAACTACATCAGCATCCCTACCGCAAATAGAGAGAATGCGTTTTCTTAGGTATAACCCAGGTGCATACTCTGGAACTCAGAGCAAAAAGTGCTCTGAAAGTGTAGATTTCTCAGAACAGCTGGGGTTACATGGTGTCAGTTAACCTTTTTGCCACACAAAATAAGTGCCCTTTTCTCTTTATCTACTAAAATAGGCGACAGAGATGCTCAGTTATGACTGAAATTCTGGTACAAGGAATCCAAGCATCCTGCGTATCTGACATAATTTTCATGATATGAGACAGAATTAATTGGGTGATTTGCCAGCAAAACTATCACAGGAGGTGTTTTGGACAATTCTGTGCTTCCCCACCAGTTGTGAATGCTCAATAACTATGGCAACCATTATTTATTCAGTGAATTCAAGTGGTGATCAATATCCTTAGCTAGCTCCATCAGCGCCCAGCCTAGAATTCCACCAGGAATTTGCAGACACTCTTATAAGAAACTAAAGGCACCTTACTACCCTTTGTTATTTTGATCAGCTGCTGCTTTTTAGTTTATTCATCTTTAATAGCTCTAAGATAAAAGAAGCCTGGAAGTTAACTATTTTGCTTTGAGTGAGCAATGCCTGAACAGCTGCTATGTTATCCATCACAAAAACCTCAGCACTCCTAAAAGGAAGGGGAACTGGGGTTTGTTCCCCTTCAAATATCTTTCTAAAATACTACAACGACGTTAAATGCATTCACAGTGCTTTATGCATAAGTAGAATGAATCAGATTTGTGATTCATTAAAAGCAGGCTTTTTACAGGGGAGAGGATTCTGTGTTGTTTGCTATCAAGGCTTAGTGGATGAGCTAAAATAACAGAACAAAAAAAAAATTCAGAACAAAAAATCTCAAATTTGTGATGTATTAATTTGTCTCTGACTTTTTACACAGGTAAGTAAGAAATGGCTTCACAGCAAAGTTGTAATAATTTACACATGAAACAGAATTGTGCCAGATATGGTAATCAAAGAAAGTGCAGGTTATATTAAATCAATTAGATATATAAAACAATGACAGCAGTGGATAAGGAGAAATTGTGGCAGTTCTTGTGTTGGATGCTTTTAAAGTAATCTCCTTCCCTTCTCTCACCCATCCCTGGCAGCCAGAAGCCACATGGTGCCCATTGTCCGCAAGCCTTGTTCTTCCGTGGCAGGAGGAGCCAGCAATAGACATGTCATCTGTTTGTCCCTTAAAGAACAGTGCAAAGAGTACAGTTCTCTTTACTTCTAGAAGCAGGAGTAATGCCTGCACCAGGTGCAGTAATGCCTTGCCCAGGCCTGTGTATATAAACTCCTTGCTCACCACCTGTTTTGGCTTAGATACTCTTTACAAACCAATAAAACAGATGGGATTCAATGAGGGCAGTCAGAAATGCAAAGGTCTGGTGTTCCACTGATATTCACCCATTTTACAGGTTTTTTTTTCAACTGTATTTACTTAGGCAGAGTTAGCTCCTGAATAATACTGGTTTGGGATCAGAATCAGAGATGTGCAGACATGGACATATCTGCCCAGAAGCTACTGTGCTCTATCATTTAAGTACCATCAATCTGCCCTGTTGTTTGAAAGCAACACTTATCCAACCCAGTGACATCTGCTTCAGACATCGTTTTCACCTTGCAGGAATTAAAAACCCTAGGTATTCTAAGTGCCTTGTTTACATTAAAACATGAGAAGTCAATGAATATTTAAAGCCTTTCCAGTAAATGGTGTATAGTGTAATTATGTAAGCCTTAGCTATACAGGTCACTGAGAGTAAATACTTAGGCAGATTCTGCCATTAAAAATCTTGGCAGATAAATATTTTATACAGGTTGGAAAAGCTGTAGGGCTTTTTTTTTTTGTCTTTCTTAACTAGCCTACTGAGAAAATCTGCAGGACATTAAATTAATCTTGCAATCTTTGAAGAGTTCCCATCTTTTAATCTGTTTTGTTTTCTAGCTGTGTAAGTTAAGATATTTTTATAGATGTAGGGAGCTGGGATACTAGAATGGATCCAAAACTTGACTACAAATTAGCAGAGCACATTTTCAAACCACTGCCTCAGTAGGTGTGTAGCTTGCTGCAGAGTATGGAAAATTATCTCTGTCTCTGGAGCACGCAGCAACTACTTTGTTAGCATTCCCAGCCAGAACTAAATGGCTTGTCTCCCACTGACAAGTTCAGAAGGTTTCATGAAAAAATCATGTCTTTTGTGAATAGCCATGAAATGTAGGTAAAACACTATGTATGCAAAGATTATCATATTAGTAGCCTTACTTTACATAAAAAAATGGTGGAAATTCATAACTAAGAGATACTCTGTCCTTAAACTCCAGTGCTACAATATTAAAGCAGTCCCTGATAAACCAAATTTGTTCTCCCCTGAGTGAATTGCCATACAATGGCCTTCTCTACTTGCAAATCTCCATAAGGGTCAATTCCTTGTCCCTGGGACTGCCTCTAGGGGTTTCAGTCTTAAATTCCTAAGGCATCCATAGGAAATCAAAGCCATCTATGTGGAAACCCTTCTGCTAGGGAAGGACACCACATGCACTGGCACTGCCACTGCAGTATCTGGTGTCAGAACACAACTACTTTCTGAAGAACACACTCATCTAAGAATAGGCTCCTCTCCTTAGTAGACTTTAGGCATCTAAGGCCTAATTTGCTCAAAGATTTAGATTTAACAGGGTTCAAATAACAAAAAACACATTTTCTTGCCTTTTTCACATGTCCAGTTCTGTTTGCACAGAGTAAGACCCACAGTCTTTCTTATACAGCCTAGAGGGAGCAGCACAAAGCCCCTGTGGTAAGGGTGTGCAGTGGCACTGAAGCCAAGGGCCACTAATAATTCACTGTCTTCCACAGGATATTCTTATCCACATGGGAATGATAAGGCCAAGATTTATCCCAAGAAGTACAGCTGGTCAAAATAGATTTTCTCTAACTGATTGAGGAGATGTGTAAATATTACTGTAGTCAGATTTTCTCATAATGACAAAGGCACATGTAAAGTGAATATAGAATTTCTCAGCCTGTAACAAACCAGGACTGTGCTTTAGGATATCATTGATTTTTGCGAGAAAATTGGTGATTTATGGCAGAGATGCTGTCAAAAATGACTCATCAAAAGTCTTGCCTCAAAATCTCTGCAAACTTAGCTCATCCTAGTAAACGGAACACAGCATGTTTTTTACACCTTTTTCCTTTTCTCGGGAATCTGAATGTGGTTTTGTGCTATCATTACACTGATCAGCAAAAACTCAACAGGAAGAAAGCAAAGAAATCCATCCCCAGCTGTGCATATCCCTCTTTCCCTAACCTCTGACCTGAGGTAGATCATGCCAGGGTCAGGCAGACTGAGCACTACCTTTATAGAAAATGCCTCTCAGAGAGCACAAGTAGCTCAAAGACCCTGGGCTCTGCACTCTGTGTCACAGGGTATCCTTTTAGTCTCAATTAATTCTGAGGTGTCCAGAAATGCAACGGATGAACACTGCAGACTTAAAATAGGCCTCTTGATTATCTTGGTTTCAATGTAGTTATGTGATTTTCTCTTCCCCCTTCACATTCCTCTTCCCCTTCTATAACAAAAATAAGCACAAAACTCAGTTGCCTACAGCTTTCTCATGCACTCACACGGGAACATTACAATTTGGCAGATCCAAGAGTCTCCTTTCCTCTTGCAGTCTGGCCCATATTTATCCTGCCTAACTCTCAGACACTTCACAAGGGACCCCCAGCCTTGGTGCACAGATCTGTCAAACCCCTCCTAACATCAGTGTAAGGATAGGCATTTTTAGAAGATTATTACAATTTGGGGTGAATGAATCATCTTCTGGAGGTGCCCTATATTCTCCATCAGCTGTGCAAGGCACCTAAAGTCAGGTGAGATGAGTGGCCACACAGAACACCACAGTTTGTTCCCTCTTTTAAGAAAACCACAATGTAACACGGAGACTGCTGGTTGCTGTAGAAGCAAGGAGTTCTTGCCTCAACAAAGAGGTGGGAGTGAAAAAGGAGGAGTGAGTACTTTACTTTGACACTGACAGTATTTCCCTCAGCTAAGTGGTGGGGGGAAGGCAGACAATGCAATCTGGAGGGTATATTTTTTATAACTAGCTCTCCTACACTCCTCCAGTCTGCCACCTGCTTGTATGTAGACCCAGCACATGAAGCACCCACTCCAGAGGATATCCTGAGAAGAGGACTGAAGGATATCTGCTGCTGAAGAGTAGGTAAGTCTTGATTCTGTTGGGAGGTTGGACAAATGCATGTACAGAAGGAACTGCAGCAGTCATACTCTTTTTAGCCAGACTGGTCTCATTACTGTTTCTTGGTATGACTGATGGTGCTAAAAATTGTGTTTGTAAACTGGAACAGAAAGCCCAACAGCAGGAAGACAAACACAAACTCCTAATTAATTGAAACCTCACAATATTCTTCAGCGGTCTGGTGCCAGTCTAACAAAGCATTAGGAGTATGAATAAGCCCAATATATACAGTGGTTCTAGGCTGGTCCGTAACACACTTAAAATAAACCATATGCTGAAAGAGCTTGGCTGAATGAGGGCTAGCATGCTCTGTACTCAGCAGCATCCCACTGAGAGTGTCAAGTAGGCAAAATTATAATGGTTTGATGTGGATAGAGAAAGGAAAGGGCCAAGAGGGAAACCTAATCAATGAGGAGAATGAGAGAGAGAGAAAATACCAGCAGTTCTAGAGCAGGCAGAAATTTGAGGCTAAATTAGAATGTGCCTTTGAGATGCTCTGCACTGGACTCTCAGTCTTTCTATTTTCACACTGTTAAAACAAACCTAACAAATGGTCATTTGGAAGTTTAGGAAACATTTTCAAGCATAGGATGAGTTAGTATCTAGTCTACTCTGCAAAGCTTCATCTTCAACACCACCCAATCCATCACAGAGTGACTGTGCAGGGACACTTGTGATCCGTAAACACACTAAACTCATAGAAATCGTCCACGTGGAATTAACAACAGAACTTGACCCAAGATCAAGCACCTCCTTTCCATGCTGGCACTCTTCTTTAGCTCATTAGAGGCTACATATCAACAGAATAAGTGATCCAAAGGAGAAGAACATGACAGACCTAGTTCTTTTACTTTCATAGTCATGTGAGGTGTCATGCATTGTTTCCTACCTACTTTCTTCTGGGTGATGCTTAGAGCAATACTCATATGTTGTGGAGGAAGTTGTGTCCAGCCTTTCTAAACCAACTAAAGGAAGTAAAAAAAGAGAAGAGAGACAGAGAGAGGAAGATCCTAAAGGAGCACCTTACAGTAAAAAGATGTGTTTTGGCACAACAGAGTTCTAAGTTAACTGTTTGCAAGCCTCCACAGTAAACCAGATGCCGCTTCTTTCATTCTGGGTGCTCTTTTAAGCTGATGTTTTATCTGAGAGGACCTGAAAATTAATCAGCAATCTGACATAATGATTTTCTTTCTAGACAACATTCCACAGATTTCCAGGACACATAAAATAGATAGAAAAAGCAAAAATATATGGACTTTCTAATGGAATATATAATGCAAAATATTGTACATACCTTTAGTTTTACTCATAGCAAGCAATGTAGTGAACTACACTGAAAAGAACAAATGATCCTACAATGCCTATAACCATGCATCCTATGCTGTCACCTGCAGCTGTAGCTGGGACAGGACAAGGAGATTTGTGGCTCCAAACAAGTCAGTAGGGTTAACTGAAAGTCACTGGAACTACTGGGGAGACAATTTGACGTCCCAAAATTAAGGAACAACCTTCAGTATATCTTAGGACACAGGGACCAGTGAAATGTCTTTTAGTCTCCGACACCAAACTTTACATTTATTCCCTCTTCCTTCACTGGGAGACAGATGTTAGCTCTCCCTGTCACTCTTGAAGAGCACAGACAGAACATGTGAGAGTAGTGACTCGTCTTACTCTTCTCCCTCAGCAAAAATGTCAAAAGTAGTAGTATACAAGAGGTTTTGCTTTCTAAGAGCCCATCTTTGTTTGGGCTAAGAACAGCACTCCTGAAATCAAGAAGAGTGAACAAGTCATTATTGCCAGAAGAAATTCTTCTTTGAATTCGATGCTACCTAAGATGCTGTAGCATTAAAGCAGGCTATGACTACTAGATCACAGGGCTGTTTTCTTTTCCTCTTTTTTGGTTAAGCCATCAAATCATAAGCAATTTGTGTGATAATCAAGAAAATTTTGTTCAAGGCAGCATTCTGGTTTTGCAGTGTTGTTACTAAAGGCAAACAACTAGATTCACAAAAGAAAGCTTTCCCACTCCTTCTTATTTTAAAGCCTAATGGCACGAATATCCACCTGGAACATGAGAGAGCCATGGTCAGATTCCCTTCCTGTTGAAATCAGACCAGAGATAGGGCCTTGGGTGTCCCTCTGACCATCAGCTTGTCCACAAATCACCAGACACATCAGCCATTCTGTGGCCTGTGAAATATTTCAAGTTGTCTTAAGACAAAAGACAGCGGTACTCAATAATTGGATATCCTGTGTTCCTGGGAAAGGCTGCTCTTCCTTGGTCTGACTCACAGAAAGGGCTTGAAGCAGTTTGCCAACTACCCATTGCTTCCAACAGTCCATTACAGCAGAAAAGGGTGCTTTCCCTGGAGATAAAGAATAGCAACTAAACCACCCATCTAAATCTAAGCCAAGCCTCAAAACAATGTTTAAAAATGTTCAACATTTCACACTTCTTCAGGTTTCGTTTTTCCAAATTTTCTCTTTGTTATTTTTTCTCTTTTGGTGTGACTAGTGGAAAACCAACACGTGGCCTGTCATACTCAAACTGCAGGGAGGAGACGAGAAGCCATTTCTTGTGGGATGCCACATCAGAGCCAAATCTCAAGGTTTTCCTGAATAAAAAGTTTCAATACACTAGCTAGAATCACCTGATTTCCTCTTACTTTACTATTAATAGTAATATTAATACTTACTTTAATAATAATTTTAATATTGTTCATCATTATACAATGCTACCTTTTTTCAGGTTACCAAATTTCTGGCTGAGTCCCTGAGTTAGCTAACTGCCCTTGGACATCTGAAACCTGTGACTATTAAGTCACTAGAGCTTTGGTCTAATTTAGATCACATGAAAATACATCCTGTCCTTAGACCAAATCAACAGAGATATACCAGCCTCATGAAATAAAAGAATAAGCAGAAAACAACATTATTTTTAAACACCATCTCACACAGGAGAGAAAATCAAGAGCTTCTTGACAAACAGAGAAAAATCTTAAAGCTTGTATGTGGGGAAATGGTCTCTTTTTAAAGGCAACTATTGCTTCCATTTGTTTAGAAACTTGTGGGAAGACCAGCACAATATAGCAAACTCCTGGAAGTGCTGTGATCAAGGAAAAGAAGAAATGTGGGTTATATCCAACTGAAACCTATTTCTAATTATCCTAGGGTGAACTGAGCCAGTCACTGGACAACTTTGACTCCTCATGAAAGGGCATGCAAGCAGTGCTTAACTGAATAAATTACCGTGTTAAAACAGAACATGGTTTTGCAAGGGGAGTAAGTTTTCCTCCTATACATTTGCTTTTGCTACATTCACTTAGCTTGCTGGGAATCCTGTTCATCAATCTCCATACTCTTGGTCTCCAGGAGGATAATCAAGAACTACCTATTGCTAACTAAAAAAGACATATCTCATATATAGTAAATAATCTAAATCATTCATGCTATATACATGAGCATATATGCCTGTATGTAAATATATAAAGCGAGGGACAGCACCTGTCCTTGATTTAGAGATCTCTAAATGCATATACATACATAAAAACATTATGTATAATGTATAACATAATTATGCTTACACATACACATATATGTAGGTGTTTATAGCACATATATGTAAGTATGCATGAACATATGCCAGTGGATATATATATATATGCAGGAGAAAAAAAGTGAATTAGGAATGTTCTTTCTGACTTTAACATACCACTCATTTCAGGAATTTTTTTATACAGAGTAAAGCAGCTCCAATTAGTTATTCCGGTCCTAAATGTTTTATCAAAGAAACCAGAATTTGGACCTTAAAGTACCCTTTCCAACTGCAGAAGAAATCAACAGAAATTAATAAAGAAACTGAAAATACCTAAGAAACAAAGAGCTACGTACATACATTAACCCTTCACCAAAATGCAGGAAGGCAGAATACCGTGCAAACTCTGAAACCAAAATCTTGGTCCCACAAATGCCAGCAGGAATTGGCCAATTTTATATCTGTCATTGAGTGTTTTATCTCAGGGTTGCCCTGACATCATCTCATCCTGGGTAAAATGAAGACTACAGCTGGTATTGTTGAGGCCACTGCTTGCAAAGTAGTGGATGACTGAAAAGCAGAAGGAAATCAATATCTATCCCAGTGGAGCTTATATGCATCCCTGGGAAGATTCAGCTCAGGGCACACTGAAGCCCTGTCACACTGATGACACAGTTGCACTGTTAAACTGCCAGTTTTTCTGGTATGAGTGTGAGGCTCTTTGTGGAGATGACTTCTGCTCCAAATTCTGCTGAGTGGTTGTCAGCCACCCTTTCTCCCAACCCCTTCTGCTGCCATCAGCCATGACTCTTCTATTGCAAGATGTCCAAGGTATGCAGTGGCTTTATTGTTTCGGGAATGCAGAAATTACACTTTAAAAGGTTATGTTCCTCTGTTTTGTACTTACTGGACAGATTTGGCAGATTCTGACATTAGTTTCCTGCTGTTCACCCCAGCAGGCAGAAAGGGTCATATGGTCACATGCACACCCAAAAGCTTTTGTACAACTGCGGAATGTGACTTTTTTCTCATTATTCTCTGATTTTCCTCTCTCAGAAAAGCAGTACATGGAATACCTAGGCTAGCCTGGCTATACCAAAAAGCCTGCCTGCCCTCATGGAGCACTCTTTCTGGTCTAGCTATCTTGCTGAGCTATGCTAGCTGTATGGCTTCTAGGTCTCAAGCTGCCTTGATATTATTATTCCTACACAGAAGACCTAGCTCTGGTAATTTCATTAATATTTTCTGGGACTTCAGCAAGTGTCTTGAATACTTTTGTAGGAACTACACCATTTGCTTGGAAGCAATTTGCTTTTTAGAGACTCCAAGAAAACAATGAAGTTGCAAAGAAAGAGTTTACATTTATCAGAGGGGTGTCTGATAGCCTAATGTTAATCCACAATTTCAGGATGGGCATGTTAGTGCTTAAAAATCATAATTTCTTCACCCTGAATATAGCTAAATTAACTGAAACTTCTTGAATCTACAATAAAGCACAGCACTAGAGTATGAAGCTTTCTGTTAGCAAAGGAGCACTTACCTGTAATCATAGTTAGAGCTGATAGACTTGCTAAGGCTGGGATATCAAGGTTAAGGCTCTTTAAGTTTAAGGAAAAGTCTTTAATAGAGTCGAGCCACTCCCCAAATCCACGAAGGCACTGAAGTCTATGAAGCACGAGTCCATTGCAGAATACAAACTTATCCTCAGCAGTATCAGACCTCAAATAAAAACAATTGAAAAAATTACAAATGCGTCTTCTACTTTACAGAAAAATGCATAACCAGTATTGAAGCGTCTGTCATTTAAAATCCAAGGCATATTATCCTGAGACATATGTGGGCATTCACGTTTGACAATATGTTTCTCCCTTGGGGCCAAAGTACAACAAACAAGCTTCTGTGATTGCTTACTTGGTAGAGTTATAAGCCTGAGGTTAGCTGTAGCATGTGGTGTAGACTGTCTAATTAGTTAAGATTTTGGTCCTGCCCAAAGGCATAAACAGAGAAGACATTTTGCATTAAATACTGTATGTTTGAACCAAAGGAATACTAAGTGAGTGTATTTTGACGTACAAAACTAATAAAAAGATAGGTTCTGCAACTCTCAGCATATACTTAGTATCATCTGCTTTTATCAGATTGTAAAAATTGGCAAGCAAAAAACAATGGAGAACATGTGCAGTAATGCAGGACAATACACATAACTGCATAAACTCTTTTATATGAAAACCTGTCGGCAAGAGGGAAATTACAGCCAAACTCTCCTCTTTTTCCCTCTCCATTACCAATAATTTTGTTAAAAAACACATGCAAAGGTTGTTTTCAACCAAAATAAACAATGGCATAGCTGAAATCACCAGTCTGCAATTTTGCCAGTTCCTGAAAGTGGATTTGGTAAAGTGCCTTAACTAGTTCTAGACTGACAAACAGCTTCTCACTCTATTAAATGACTTGGCACTAAAAAGAAAACCAATCTGAACAAGATTTTAAATATTTTAAAAGGGAGATGACAAAGGGAAAACAAAAAAACTTTAATACTTGAGGTGTGTTTCTATATTTCATACTTAAGAGTATGAAGAAGGCTTGGTCAAATAGTACCTGAGGATCAATTTTGATTATTATGTAGGAAAAAGATGGGGCAGATCAAGTAAAAGAAGCACATAAGTGACACCTATGATCTCTTTTTAAATTACCGTCTTGATTTTTCCTGCAGTATAAAACAAATTAAACATTATAACCTTTGTATGCAGACATTGCTGATTTTTTGTGCTTTTTTTTTGGTACAAATGACAATGTTCAAAGATAGCGCCATATTTACTCCTTAAAAATATTCAGATAGATGATTTTTCACATCATCTTAAGAGGAAATTAAATAAATAGTTACCTGATGGAGAGTCTTAGTACAAACAGCTCCAAAAAAGCTGATTCTATGAGTAATGTCTGATCTTCTTTTGGGAGGTCAGTAAATCCTGGGATTTTTTCTGCCCAGCCTCTAGTTATGTCAATGGAGGCAGTCAGAAGATTATAGAACTGTTGTACATGTTCTGCATCTGTGCCTGCAGCAGCCTGATCAGTGGAACAGTACTAAAATGAAAGCCACAGAAAGCAAGGTTATATGCATTTAAGGGCATTCTGTGAAACATACAGCATTACTTGCCCAACAACATTTCCTTCTGTGGCAAAGCTAGTATTATTTACAAAGACATAAAAAAATAGGTCTACATCTACCTACTTATTTGGTTACCTATGGGCATTTTGTTATTCAGATAGATATTACAAAAATATTTCCATATGTATAGAAGTAATTTCAAATTTATAACTAAAATACAATATCACATTTTACAAGTATCTATATGCTATTAGTAAACAGAAATAGAAACCTGGTGGGTAGGATAATTTGCATCACACTAGAAGAAGAACATTATTTAGCTTACTACAATGAAACACTTTTCCCATTGATGAATTTGTCTGAGTATGTCATAAATGCAGATTTCTTCCAAAAACCTCACAAAGTGCATTTTATCTGACAGTGATAGAGACACATAAGATAAATCACATTTTATCTGACACATGCAGCATTGCTTCATTTGAATACAGAATTGGTTCAAAGTAAACCAGCTGCCCCATATCACCTCTTATCCTTCAAATTGAAGCATTTGAGGTTCAGCAGAACCTATTATCCTGCTTATGTGGTCATAACTCTTCCAGGCAGCCATTTGACAGTCTCAGCTTGCTCAGCTTCCCTGTGACCCTCTGACAGCTCCCTCCCCACTATCTCCTACTTCATCACCAGTGGATCCCTGTCACTCCTTTGACACTGCTCTCTCTCTCTCTTGGCAGAAAATACAACAGGAGCTTTTGTGGCTTAGTTCAATTCTGTGCTTGGAAAGTGCTGCTGGCTTTCTGAGCAGGTACTGAATAATGTGGCATTTATTGTAGTAACATCCTCATCATCAGACAGGGATGGGTTATTTCTGGGAGAGACTTCATACCCACGAAATCTCTTATGAGTTCAGCCAAAGAAAGGCTGAAGTAGTCTCCCTGGCTAAAAGAAGCATGCATACCTTTTGGAAACAATTTCCCACATGCATTTAGGCTTGAATCCATCTGCCCAAAGGCCACTCTAGCAACTCTCCAAGCCAGAGTGGAAGCAGAAAAAAACTCTTTCCCCATCACTAACAGTGATCTGGCAGCCTGGGAGGACCATATTACAAACGTGGGCTGCAGATATTACCCAAGTTGCTAACTGCAACCCAAAAGTCACCTCTGTGCAGGACAGAGAGATGGGGCAGCAAGCAGAACTTCTAAGGTAGCTGTCCTGCGCTCCGCCTCTCCTAGCTGGAGCTGGTTGCTGTTGGCAGGTAAGGGATGAAGGACAAAATGTCAGAGTTGCTGACTGATGGGAGAACCACAGCAATCCTAGAAACCTCTGTCTGTATCTGCGTCCTGGTACTAGCTCTTAGTGACTCTGTTCTGCTTACCCAACACTAACTGCATGAGTTTATCACAGTAAGTTCCAGCTCACATCCCTATTCAGCTGGTGACACATGTGCAATCCTTCTTATAAAGTTCATATGGAGAAAAATTTTGCCTCAGCTGCTCCGAAGGATCCTGTGACACTGAGGCAGGTAGAGGTCACAATACAAAGAAGGTGGGAAGCAGCAGTAAAGAAATCTGTATGCTGCATCATCTTTGTGTTCAGACCCCCACTTGAATGGAGCAGTTGAGGATGCTCAAGCATCAGGAACCAACTACTCCTGGCACCAGACTGCAGCAAGTTGCACACAAGTAATTGATGGGTAGAAAAAGACAATTTGCTTTTTCAGAGACCATGCATGTTCTGGACCCTCCCTAAGTGAAGCTGCAGAGTAAGCCACAAGTGTGCATTCTGGCTCTGGGAGATATGCTTTGCTACACAGGGGCTGACCTATGACTCTTTCTTACTGCACGGGGAAACTAAACAGGCTGATGGAAACTCCTGCCTCATGACAGGTATTGCTCAGCCAAGACATGTTCTTGATCCTTTGAGCAGTAAAGGAGAAGGAAAAGAAAAAATATACTACCCATTCTGAATGAGTTCAGTCTAAATATAACTCATCACAACAGCATAATTATGCAAGGTGTTAATTTGTTCCCAATATTTATAAAACATTCATTTGGCAAAAGTAAGGTAGAGTTCAAACATTTTCTAATGAAGCTGAATGCTGCATTATGTCGTGTAACTGTGAATGCTACAGTGTGGTATACCCCATGCTGGGCACTGAATCAAATTAAATGCATCAAAAAAAAATATAACCTGTATTTTTTAACATAGTCTATCCAAGGAGAGCAATTTTAGAAGAAAGGTAAAAGATTATATGGAATTGTATAATTTTCAGCTGCTCGCTATAAAGTATTAGAACTTAAAAAGAGTTGTCAAAATAAAATATTATTTACTTGTAACAGACTTAGGAGGATACAAGTAACAATAAACAATATGTATGTTTCTGTTTCATGAACCACAATTACGGGTTTTTTCCACGATTTTTTCATGGAGAAGAAGTGATATTTGACCTATTTTGTGAGCAAGACAGCTGGCAATCCTGCCCTCGGTCAGGAGGCCACAGGACGGAAGGGCTTCCTCTGATCTGCACTTCTAAACCTGCCCTATGTAAACTGGAGCCAAATGGGGAGAAAGACAAACAACAAAGCTCTGCCCCCCTCTCTTCCTTGGAGCTCCTTTGGGAATTAAATTAAATATGACTGTTACTTAAAGAGGGGGTTGCTTGTGCAAGCAACATTAACTTGTATGTTATATCTGAAGACATTTGGAAAGCCTGAGGTTGGGGAGCCTGATAGCACAACTTAGCTCTGCCCTTTGCCTGCTTTCATCAGTTGCTCATTGACAGCTATAGCTGCAAAAGCCTAACAATAACTTCTCTGCACAGACGAAAGCCTACAGTCATTTTTCCAAAAGCCACGATATGTGCTTAATTTTGTGGCCCAGGAAGGGGGGTGGGGGGATGATTGCCTAAATGCTGCACTCCCCCTCTGAAAAGACAACATTTCTATTCATGTTGGTGCCTAGTCTGCATGAATAAGAATGGCAAGATATTGGGTCTGTTTCTCATCTCACTTCCTTAAAAGTATAAACTCGGACTTGTACCAGTAAACAGGTGTGAGACCAGACTACGGCCCTTGGCAATTGCCTTTTGAAACCAAGTACCTAAATATACCACTGCTGTGGACTGGTAAGTTAAAACCAGCGCTGAGATGAAAAGCAGCCATGTTCTGAACAGAACTGTTTCCAATGTTTTGGTGTAAAGTTTGTAGCTTATGTAATTTATTTTTTGCTTTGTTTTTTTTCCTGGGTTGTTCTGTGTGTGTGTGTCTGCAGGGCTTTCTGGAGGGAAGGGATACACACCTTTCTCCGAAACTCCTATCAGTATTTTTAAGACGGTCAAGATATTACAGCTTGTAAACATTAAGACCATGCTAAACTTTAAGGTCGTATCTGCAGAAGTGTCAGGGATAACTCCAAAGCCAGGTTTCCAGATCTGCCCATTTGTGGTGCACAGCAAGGTCACAGCCTAGCTGAACATGCCGTAAGTTAGTCTTTACAGGTACACGATTATTCTTCATAGGAATATTTCAGTATTGCAGTGTGTTTATGGCATGTTTCAATAAATTCATTAAATTCAGTTAATCTTGCTCTTTACACAGCATTTGTTTCTGACCTCTTCTAACTTTTCAAAATAAGTATAACGGTCTATGAAAAACATAAGAATCTACTAATTTATTGTAGAATATTTTTGTCATTTCAGTACCGCTAGGCATAACAGACTATTATATATTTTAGTGTAAAGAAAAACTTAGATATTAATATGTTCTAACAGATAATCATACTTAATCTTTTAGCTACCAAGAGTAAATTAATTTACTGTCAATCATATGCTCCCTGTAATGTCCAACAGAATTGCTCAACAACTAAATCTGTGGGTTGTTTTCATTAAAAGAGAAATAATTACTGTAGGACAAAGAAAAAAATCACATAAAAGTACATAATTTTTGTTCAGTTTTCTGTAAATGCAAAAGAACTTTATATCAATAAATAAATACAAACTATGGCCTCTGGACTCCTGTAATTCTGTGGAACCCAGAAGATTTCTGTCAAAGAGCACGGCTCGTCACACACCTTGGTATTTACGGAATGATCCCTGAGACATTCTGGGTAAGTTAAGGTACATGCAGATACTGCTAATGCATTCTCCCCATAATAGGTTGTCATACACTGAACAGCTAGATTCTTGATAATAACTTGAAAAATTATATGATTTAATACTTACAGATTAGTTTGAAGAAAATATGTTACAGCATGCTTTAAATTGCTAAATTATATATATAAGTATAGTTTAAAATAGCATAACTTAATTTTTATGTAATTGCAGTAAATATGCTTTAGGATTAAATATTACTTAGCAACAAGTGATAAATGGCCAATGGAGTTATTGTCTGAGTACAGTTTCTATTTTCTACAATCTCAAATTTAATCATATTTCTTTAAGGGGGAAGAATTTTATCTTGTTTTTCCATAGCTGTATTATTTTCTTATCCTGTATCAACTTGCCTAAGAATTGTATTTAACAAGCCATTTCAATGGTATATTTTGATAACTACAGAACATTTTTTTTCAGCTTTTAGAATATTCCATGAATATTTATATTGTGACTATGATACATTAAAGAACAAGGTTACAAAAATAAATTACATTTAGTAAAGCTTTGCTTATTTTTCAGATTTTTAATTTTTAAAGGCTTGTTTTAAAAATGTGAGTTTTACTGAAGGAATATTTATGTAGGGGTATCCAAAGCCAACCCTGTTCCCATTAAAATAATGGCAAAATTCCTATTGATTTCAACAGGAATTGTCCTATTCATCCACTGTCACACTCTGCAACCCTTCTATCTGAATATTAGGGAAATGCTGTTAAATTTTAGCCTTCGGGAAATAGAAGTTAAGATATTAGACATTAGTACTTGCTCCTGGTTAATCAATGACATCATAATTGATTGTGTTTTGTCACAGCCTTTTTGCAAGAAGAGTGCTCTATTTATCTATGCATTTTTGCTTTCACTCAGCCACTGAATGTACTGCAGATTATTAGATTATTTTGTGATTGAGATCCTCACAATGAATAGTTACAAACACTAATATCTACTGCACTCTCCTCTCATTGTCCACCTATCACGAAAAGACAACAGCGGGCTGGACAGATTTCTACACTCATCCAAATTTCACACTTAATTTCATTTTGGCAAACCAACTGGTCAGGAGAAATGCAGCTTGCAAATCATTTCTGTGCGGAAAGCAAATAGGGAAAGAAAAGTGAGACATACTCTTGAATAGTCCAGCTCCCTGGGCGTGGAGTCGGTTAAAGCTCGAACGAGGGCATTCATCATGCTGATGGGAGGAGAGGGCGGGGAGGGCTGAGAGGGTTCTTGCTGTAAGGGGCTCTTTGGTTTGGAAGGCAGCCGACCTCTTCTCCCTTTCAGGCTGTCGGTACGGACAACTAGGTGAAAAAAATCCCAAGGGAATCAGTTGTGAAGGTACTAGCAAATAATGTTCATCAGAATGAACACCCTGCTTTCCTTACAGGGGCCAGACCAGCAAAAACAAGAGCATTTTCCAGTTTCAGCACACGCTCTTTCATTGCAAAGGAGCACAAATGGCACCAGAACTGTGTCAGACCTATGATCATAAGCAGCAATGTAGCTGCTTAGTGAGAGCCCAGCTGTGTTCCTTGTGTCCATGCTTTGTTTGCAGCACGTCAGTGTGCCCGTGTACGTGTGCCCGTGACACTCCACTGCTGAAAAAAAGCTGAATGTGAAACATAGATTTTAGTGTTTCTACCACCAGTGTCCCTGTTAAATGGCAGAGGCGTTCATTCAAAGTAATTTTAGCTTTCTTGAAGCATTTGAAAAAATACGGTCACACAATATAGGTTATATTATCCATGTCAGTATTTGCAGTGGGGCTGCTCGCACAATATTACTCACATGCTTAAATATTTGCAGAATTTGGACTAATGAGTTGATCCTGTTTCCATTTAAATTAATTGCAAATTTACAATCAGCTTATGGGAATGAAAGGAGATCCTATGTTAAAATGCACACGATCCAATGCAGCCCCCAGTGAGCTAACAAGGGGAAGCCAACAGCATTATTGAGCAATGTTCAAAGTTAATAAAGGAGACATTTTGGCCACTGTCAAATTATCCTCTTGTGACCTTGCTGCTCTTGAACTCTGGGGTCTATAGTCTAAATATGATAATTGGGGTGAAAAGCACAAAATCAATACATTATTACATATATGCACATATTTTGGGGTAAATTATGAATCTCATCACTGACAAATTTATTGTAGAGACATCCATGTTCACACACACACAGAGACACAGATTCATTAAACATAATATTTTAGTTTTCTGGGGTCATAAATAGCCACAGTCCTTACCTTCTTTAACCATGCCGACACTGAGACACTTCTGGAACCGGCAGTATTGGCATCTGTTACGACGTCTCTTGTCCACTGGGCAGTTTTTATTTGCCAGACAAACATATTTTGCATTTTTCTGAACTGTTCTCTGCGAAAATGCAACACAAAAATAGTAAACTGATTGTTTCTTGAGCAACTTAGAACCTGACAAAATGCGTTTTAATTACAACATGAAAAGTGACAGTGCAATTCATATAATTAGATAAAATTAATTTCCTAACACACTAGCCTGCAGGAAAAACAATTTTATTAGTGCTAGCTGCTGACAATGAAAATCATCTAGGATTGTTCTGAAGCAAGTCTCTGGAGACAGGCAACTTTGAATGATAAAATCATATCTGAAATTACCAGGTCATCACATCTACCTTTGGGGATTAGATTATCTCCGCTTTTAATATCCCTTTGGGAACAATTTTCTACTTGGTTCATTCCCTTGATTATTGCTGACCTTATTAAAATAAAATCAAAATTATCTGCAATGTATTTCTCTTGCTATCACTATTGTTAGTCAGATACCACAATAACTGGTTTGGTTAGCCATTAAAATCATCAGAGAGAAAAATAAAAATACCAGAAACCCCTAAAAAATATGTTTTGCTAAATATTCTCTGAAAGTTAACCTGACCTGAGGAAAAAAGACAGAATGATGACATAGTTATGTAAATTTAAATAACTCTAAAGTCATGTTGAAAAAAATAAAATCAAAATTTGTAAAAACTTTGAAAGAAAAGCTTTGAAAGGTAAGCTTTGAAAGAATGTAAGAAATATTAATGCAAAAAGCTACCATGCTGCCATGCTTAAAATGAAAGATACATCAATAAATAATATCCAAGAAAGTATTACTAGAAAAAACACCAGGAACAAATTTATCAACTCAACATTCAATATTAAATCTTTCACTGCAATTAAATTAATGGATAAATTTTATTCCGTAACTTGTGTTTGTTATAAAATAACAGCCTCAATGTACTAAATGTAAGAGATAAAGCAAATATTGTTCATTGTGATTTGGAGCTGAAAACAGTTTAATTTTGCAGAATGAGTTACAACTCAAGGATATGCTATTGATTTCCACAGGGGCAGGTTTGGGATAATAAGAGTTGCTTTTTCCATGTTATTTGTGTCCCTTTTCTAGTTATATCTAAATAACAAATTAGTTTTATAGGATATATGTATGTTGTCATATGGTCAAAGGATTATTATTATTAATAGCTCCACCTACAATAAAATAATGTTGTAAGCCCTCCCCCCAAATATTTAGGGACTGTTTTTGTTCCCATTGTATCCTTTACCAGAACAGAGGCATAACTGCTATCTTAGAAAGAAGAAATACACAAAATCAACCCCAAACATTTCAAATCTTAAACTTGCTGCCCAAAACCATCCTACCAAAAGTCAATTGCAAGGTTTTCCCTTAAACAAGCTATTTCTGAAATTAATACTGGAATCTCAACTCAGTTTGCTGAAAGGAAAATACAAAGCACCCAAACCTAAGATTAAAAAAGAGTATATTCAGCTCTTGAAAATATAAGCACAGAGCTTCCACTGAGAAACTGCTGTGTGCAATTTATTTGTGTTGCTATTCAGCTGCAAAGCTGCCCTCATTGCAGAGCAGGCACCAGGACCCTGTGCAGTGCTTAGTCACTGCTCTGCAGGCAGTTTTCCCCTGGTAAGGACTCCCCGGGCTCCTGAGCTGAAGGGTAATGACAAGGCAGCAACCAAAAGCAACAAGAAGTACTTGGGTTTGTCCCATGAGTGAAACCAGTTTCTTCCTGGTGCTGACCACCCTGAATTCCTGCTCACACCGACCGCCCCTGGACAACAAACGGCACCGCTGCCACCACCTAAAATACTAAGTGGACTTTACGATTTCAGGGATTTTTTTCACAGTATAATTGGAATTGGTGACTGAGTAAAACCCAGGCTGAATGTACTCCAATGAGTTTCCCTACAGAATAAATGCAGTCCATAGCTTAAACTGAGGAGAGCTATGTCCCATTGAGGAATGCTGGCAGACCGCAGATATGGTTCCCCCAGGTCACTGCCATAGCCTCTTCCCAGCAGAGACTGCCTGATCCTCTCATCCTACAGAAGGCTCTCCTTGACCTTCTTCAAAAACTTTGGGTCTCCCTCCCACCCTGCCGGGGGGACCCTGAGTTTTAACACACGATGTCCCTGAAGGCCGAGGTCAGGACCAGGGACATGTGGGGACAGAGGGCAGGGAGGTGGGAGCAAGCAGGGAGGGAAGCGAAGCGCGGAGCTCTCACCTTGAAAAAGCCCTTGCAGCCCTCACATGTCCGCACCCCGTAGTGCTGGCAGGCGGCATTATCTCCACAGACAGCGCAGGTGCCTTCCCCAGACGAAGAGCTCCTGCTGGGCGGAGACGGGAGGCCACTGCTGCCGCTCCCGCTGCTCTCCCCCATCAGGCCGGAGGTGGCTGCGTTGAGGCCGAGTGGTGAGAAGGCTAAGGTGGCTGGTCTTTTGGCCAGGTGAAGCCCGTAGGAATGGCCCTCCATGGGAGCCTGGCTGGCGGCGGGCCTGTCGGAGCCCAGGGGCAGGCTCAGGGAGGCAGGGTCGTAGCACATGTGGGCGGCCGCGGACGGCGTGTGCGGAGGCGAGTGCTTGAAGTGGAAGAGAGGGAAGCGCGGAGGCACGGTCTTCATGGGGGTGGCGTCCATCAGGTGGCCGGGAGGCAGGCAGGTCTGCGTGGGCTGCAGCGGGGGCTCGTCCCACAGGCCCTGGTGAGCAGGGAAGCCGGGTGTGGTGGGCGTGGAGGGTGGAGATTGCTTGAAGTACATGGAAGTGCTGGGCATGCCCTCATCTGTGGATGGGGGCAGTGAGGGCTGGTATGGGGACAGCCGGGTGTCTTCCATCTTTATGAGGGGCCTCTGGCCAGAGGAGGCAGTTTGCATTTGGTAGAGGCAGGAAGGCTTGAGCTCATAGCTGCCAGAGTAACCCTCCATGAAGGTGCTGAAGCTGGGAAGGGACGTGGTGGCAGTGGCAGTGATTTCAGTACTGCTCAGGTCCATGGTCAGCTTGGCATAGTCAGGGTTCATGATGTCTGAGCTGTACTCCGAGCCATAGGCGTAGGTCTGGGATGCATAATTCGAACCGGGCGGTGAAGGACTATACTGCGCTTGCACACAGGGCATATCTGCGAGGGCAAAGGGGCACGTTAACAACAGGCCCAGTGCACCAGGCCGTGGCCAGGGGCCTCCCAAACTTATTTCCTAGAAGCTTTCCCAGAGCTCAGATAGGCACCCAGCTCCCATCCAGACATTTAAATTAGCCTCGAGCCTTTTCCTTTCAACAAGAAATATTCGTCAGGGACCGACTAAGCGTTCGGTGCCATGGAGCCTCCTCTCATCTAGTTAAGGGAGAAACTCACATTTATACCAGTGTCAGTGAGAGAAGAATCCATCTCAAGCTGCCCTACATCTGCTGCTTAATATACATAGGTGTCAATGAGAATTAGATAAGCAGAATGAGAACAGTTTATGACTCTAAATCTATCTCTATATGCATGCAGTCATGCTGTAAAATTTTCATGAAGGGTAAAGAGATTATCAAATGCATAATAATAAAAATTGTAGTTATTTTAAAAAAAACCAGCATCTGCCGTGCATGTCAGAGGAATTACTCAAATCACAAGGTTTCCTACTCAGGACTTGCAAACATCAATTTTGCTTAATCAGCTCTGGACCTTTGAAGAATACTTTTGGTCAGCTAATAATTTAAGGTTGCTAATAATTTAAAGTTGCTGTTTCATTGTTAGTTTTAAGGCTTATCTCTGGCAGAATGTTCTCCTTTAAAAAGTGGAAGGTACAACAACCCCTTCAATTAGCAAAAATGTAGGATAAAAGGTATGTGGTATTTCTGTTTTCATGGGAAAGCAAAGTTGAGGCCAGTAACACAGTTGGTTTTATTCATTAGTCATAAAACTTAATGCGGTTCACTGATAGCTGGGATGGTTGAAGCAACACAGTGCTTGGCTAAGAAGATCTGATTGTTATTTTCTTTTACATTTCCTACTAGTCTGCCATGTAATTTGCTGGTCACAAGAAATAAGAGACCCAATTCTGCAATTCACTGAGGTTTGCCTGACTAAACACTGTGAGGTTCTAGACCAATATTTGCAACTCAAACTAAAAGTGTGTGGTGTATTTTGGTTCTACAGCAGAAGAATAAAATGCATCAATTAGTAAAAATTTTATCATAAAGAGAATAGTAATTAAGGATTAAATGTATACCTAAATTAAGTGTAGTTCATCTCTTCTTAATCATGGTAATTTATATTCCAGAAGCACTTGAGAAATAATTTATGTTAAAAAAAACCCAACAAACATGCCTTGACAATAACGAGGTTTTCCTCAACATTTTAAGAACTCTTTTCACTTACAATTTAAAAATATTCACTCCTGGCATGCAGGAATCCAAATAATTTGTTTTAAATCAACTTTTAATTCTGTCCTGCCTGCTTTGCAGATAAACATACTTAAACTAAGCACCAAATTTGAATTATCACTCTGTCACAAACCATTCACATCTTTCTTCTTCTCGAGAAAACACTAAAATCTGAGAAAAATATTAGTGCTGTTTCCTGAAATTAAGAACTTCCTTGCCTTAAACCCAAAAGCTTGAAGCAGAAGGCAGGACAGCCCTCCCCCAAGCCTTGCCTCCCAATGTTATTTATGTATTATTCTACTGTTCTCTTTTTTTCCCCTGTCAATTTCTGTCCATGCCATTCCACGCACACACATTTCCTGGCAAATCGTATCACTATCATTTGTTAGTTTAAGGGCTGGCTCTTAAAACACAGTGATCAATGCTTAATCAAATAAAAAAGGAAAGAAATTCTTTCCACACACCTCCACTGAGAACTGACGGAGGAACACAACAGAGTGAGTTCACAGCTAATGTCACAAGAGGACGTGTTGATACAGAACTCTGTGAAGGAAAAAGGCTTTTTTGCTAGCTCAGAAAATGAGCAGGAGTTCAAGGGAACAGATCATTATGCCCCTTTTCTGCATTTTTCTGAGCATAACAGAGTTATGCCACTGAATTCTGTGCGAAGCGGAGTAGAAAAACAGAAGTCTAAAATAACTCTGACCGGAGGACTGAAAAAATATCCCTAACCTAAAGGTCTGGTCTCTCCTGGCTCTGTGGGACTCCTCCTCCCTCGCCTTTTGCCAACGCACTTGTCTAAGTCTAACCCCTACTTTTCCACTTAGGGCACCGGTATTAATTCCCCTGGCAAAGTAAATAACTTGGGGATTTTTTTCTTTATCCAATAATATTAAAACAAGGGAAGAAAAAGCCCCACAGGAGGTGCATTGAAGAGCAAGCTGTCATCAAAACCCAAATGAATGGGTAAAAGCATCCAGGGCAGGGACATTAGGAGCAATTACCATGGTGTTCTGCTTTCTTTGCGAGAACTTGAGGTAAAAGATGCCCAGTTTAACACCAGGCAAGCTGGGCTCCTCACAGGGACACTAGCACCCCCAAACAGCTTCCCCTTAAATCTGGCACGTCTTTGGCGAGGGGCTCGCAGCCCCGTGTGCCTAGGCACGGCACCGCCAAAAGCGCTGCGAAAGGCATGCGCTTCTCTGATCCTTTTGGGATTTAAACTCCCCGGGACGTCGGACGCCGATGATGCCGAAGGGATTTGGGAAGAGTAGGGGCCCCGCCAGGAGCTCCCGCACCCCTCTACTCCTCCTCCTGCCCTTCTCCAGGGGCGGCAGCTTACCTGGTGGGTATCTTGCGCGCTGAATGGTGGGGCTGGAGGTGCGGACGGAGGCGGCGGCGGGCTGCGGCGGCGGCGGGGTGGGTGCCGGCTGGGACCTCTCTG